GCCAAACAATAACATTAACGTTTTAAAAATCATAAGTACGAAGTATGATTATGAATATATGATGATCAAACACCGAGCTTAATGTGAAGAGACTGACATGAAAGCAGGAGAGTCATTGAACTCGGCGGAGACAGGAGCAGGAGATGGAGCTCCAGGGAGCTGAGTCATTTCGGTCTGGTCGCTAGTCACCATAATTATAAGAGCAGTCAATGTGGCGGAGAAAAGCAGAACTCTTATTATGACGTCTATTGTCCGGCAATCTAGGAAACCGGCGGTTGAGGACGGTGTTGTTGTTGGTGGTACTGGTGGTGCATCCGACGCCGGAATCGGTTCAGATTTGCCAGTTTCTGGATCAGGGTTTTGAGTAGAAGCCATGGAAAGGTAAACTAGATATGCGTAATGCAAATGGAAGTTTGATTTGAGGTTAAGTTGGACTGTTGAGTTGTGAAATTGGCTGCTACAATACAATCTATGTGGTGTATATATAGTCCCGGTGGGTAATTGTGGTAACCCTCACGCCAAGAACACAAAGTAATATTTTAGATGCCTTCCAAACGATGTTTTTTATATATAAACAAAAATAATTTGAGTTTACATATAATTAAAATAGATAGTATATATTGTGGTTTTCTATTACAGATTTTCATACATTTTGGCATATATAAATGTACGTAGGCTCATACAAAGAAGAAAAATCAAGATCATATTTTTCAGCAACATAAACAAGCATAAAATGCAGTTAAGAATATTTTTACTCTAATCAATATATATCTATTTTGATTAGTAGAAAAATCAAATATTTTTTATATATAAAGTTACGGATAATGTAGATACAATAAGAATGTGTTAGGCCAACCCCAGGAAGGTTGGTGAGGAAACTGGGCGATAATAATAATCAGACTGATTACACATATAAGAAAACAAATAAAAGTAGGAAGTGGTTAAACTATCATTTGCATAAACACAGGTAATTTTATATGTGCTTTTAGGTACCACTTTGCTTTCTACTTCTGGCTGTAAATTATGTAAGTGATATCTTATCTTACGTTTAAGAAAGTAAATTACTAAATTACAAGAAATTAATAAACGTCCAAAGTATAATTACCAATCCTCAAACATATAATAATGTTTTAACATGGATAAAACTGCTTTCAGATCGATAACACCTAGACGAAACAGAGCTACCAAACTTTATCTTGATACCAAGACACAAGTCAAATGACAACACAAAAAAGTCAGACCTAACAGTAGTAAAATATGAATTTCTATCATGGTGTCTTCTTTCATATCCTAATTATTACACCTAACATGTTTTAAATTAGAGATAGCTTTAGCATTTAAACTTGAGCAAATTCAGAAGGGTAATACGTAAGGGCAAAATTTGGGCTTATAAGTGGGCCTTATGAGCCTATTTATTACCAAACATAGTCCAAAGCGGGAATATTCCAAAACTCTTTTCCTCATGTGGGCGGGTAAATTCTTATTCGACGAAGTGACTAGGTACATCGTAGCCGTAGATTTCTTCACCTTAAATCAATGGTCATAAATAACCCTCACGCTTCGGTCGTTTCGGGTCTCCACTTTCACAATCGTATCTAAATTTTCACTATTTTTTTTTTTACTTTCCCTAAAGCGGAACCCTCGATCTCAAGAGCGAGACCGGATTCGTAGCTTCCATGGCGAAAATTTCGAATTCCGATGACGCTTTCTCGTCG